TGTTTCATACATCAGATACAGCAGTGCTTGAGAAAGATTACGAATCCAGTGGCTAGTTAGATATACTGTTATACTCATTTTTTTTCTCATGAAGTAATCCTGGAGTAATTTGGTCCAGGTTTAATTGTCAGTGAAAGGAAGAAAAGTAGATCAAGAACTTTGATGACAAAATTTGCCTAATGAAGAGATTTTAATCAGTCCTTGTTGAACTGAAGATAAAAATATAGTTTGTTTCTACAGATTTGAGGAGAATTAACATGTATCTGATTGTTAATATTTGATTCTTGTTTAATTATTTATGATATCAAGGAATGAATCTGTCAAGTAAATAATGAAATGCATACATGCAGCATATGTAATTAGGTTAGGGGCATAAATCCAAAGTGTTCACTTTATAGTTGTCAGTGTACAATTTATTAATAATGAGAAATGTGTTAAGAAAATTCTTAACACAGTCTACCTCGTTAGTGTGGATTATAGCAATTGTTGGTCAAAGAAGAGGAGGAGGAGGAAGAGAGGATGAAGAGGCTTCATTTTCTTGTGCTTTAATTGCTTAAAAATATTAGAGAATTAGAGCACATTTTTTTTTCTGTTTAGAAGTGTCTGATTTGAACAAATGAGTTGTGGGCTTAAATATACGATGAAATGGGATAATTCCATATTGAAAAAAATCCAGGTGCCAGGCTTTCTAATCACTAAATAATTATTTAAGGGGGAAAATTCAAATGGACATTTGTGAACAGAAAACCTACATTTATGATTGAGCTGTCAGAGTCTAATCTTAAAATGTGACTTTCAATCACTGCGATGGTGAGAAGATGGCAAGCAATGCATTGTCAAGTGCACTCTCCCATTTCTCCTTTCTTCACCTCCTAAAAACGCATGGGAGAGAGAAACACCTTACCAGGTACATTCCTTGTACCCTGGTTTTGCCTGGGCTGCTGGGACAGGTGCTGAAACAGGGATTCGAGGAGAGCTTTACCTGCGAGTGGGGCTTGATGGTACATAGTGCTAGTGGGCTTTCTGGATTTGATGGGCTGGAGGCTGGAGGACAAGCTCTGTGCCCCTGAGGATATCATGGGAATCCTGCCCCTGCAGGGACCTGGCTGGGTGGGCGCCACCAACTGTGTATTAAGGAATTTGACTTGATAATCTGGTTAGGCTCAGTTCTGTCCTTCATGTTAATCATTAATAGCATGCTGTGGTAGAAAGGGCAGTCAACCAGAAAACAAGATAATGAGATCCTACACTACCACTAACTAGCTTGGGAACTTCCAGAAAATTCTTTAAACTCTTTCTTCACTTATCAAATTAGAGGGCTGTAATTCTGGCTTTAATGGTCTACGATTATGATCTACAGAGATGATGTTGAAATACATCCGATTCTGTGCTAACAGTGCCATGAACTTCTTGGGGAAAAAAAGGGGAGAAAGGTAGCATTAATATATGAACATTCATCATCCGACTGGCTTATAGAGGCACTGTCATAGAGGCAGTTATACATTTATAAGAAGATGGAAGATATGATCACAAAAGGAAATCCATGTATTATTTTAGTAAATGATATGAATCTAACTATAGCCACCGCTTAAGAACTTTTTTTGCCTCAGATATATAAAAATTAAAAGGACTCGAAGGCCTATTTAGGATAAGGAAGTGACGTTACAAAGCAAAGAAGGTATGTTGCAATTTTCCTACCTGCCCTGATTAAAAGAGGGGAATGGTTATTTAACAGGTTTATCTTCAAAAGCTTCTGTGATTTACTGACTTTCAAAAGGGTAATATTCTGATGGCGAGTAATTCAGTTATCAAATAATTTACTAAATCAAAGTAATTATTTGCTATCCTCCTGATCTTAATTCTCAGATGTCTACAAACTAAAGAATTTAGGGCAAAAATGACTTAATTTAGTCAAGCATTATTATTGAAAAGGAAAATTCCTATATGGAGTCCATTATACGGCTCATTATTTAGGAAAAATACGAAAGAGTAAAAATGATTTTACCACCCTCTAAGAAAATTACCCATTGAATTGAGCCAATCAATTTACTATTGACTAAATCAATGAACACTATTTTTTGGGAACACATATTTTATAGAAAAGACCAATATAAGAATAATCTAAATATGACTATTTCTGACTTTCAAATGATAAACTGTAAGCTGCAAAGAGACACTTTCAGTTACCTACCCCAAAATCTTCCCTTCTTCCTTGGGAATCACACCCTTCTCCCCAGATTCTTAAGAAAAATATATATATTTTTTAATCCAATAAGCTTTGGGGTTGTTTGTATGCAGGAACAGGTGACTGGGAGATTGACTAAAATTCAACTTTTGTTTTGATATTGCCTGTTTTATTCCCTGTCTCCCCCCTCACATACCTCCAATATAACTCAGGGGTTAATCCTGATTAATTAGCAGTAGTGATAACCTCATCTCCATTGCCAGTGAAAGTTTAGAAACAGGCATGTGACCCAGTTCTGGCCAAAAAAAAAAAAATGAGAAAAAATCCTCTGAGGGGTCTTCTGGTATCACTTCCCCACTCTTAAGAAGAAATATAGTTAAGACTAGTCCCACTTTTCTGGCTGGACTTTACCATGTCTTCAAGTGATGCCTGGAACTATGGCTGCCATTTTGAGACCTTGAGGAGAACTAGCTAAGGCCAAGGTCAGTAAGTTGAGGATGGAGGAGTGGAAAGAAGAGAAGAACCTGAGTCCTTGAGAACATTAAACATGAATTAATCAACCCCAGCATCTGCCACCTTGAGACTTCCTACAGGAGATCCAACATGTGCCTTGTTGTCTAAGCCAGTAGAGGCAGGTTTGCTATTATTTACATCAAAGTTATCCTAACAAAAACAAGAGGTGAAAAAAGCTTTATTTTATTGCCTCTAAGAGAACAGCTCATGCTTAAGCTGGGAGTGAGCTTTATTATACACTTTGCTGACAATATTTATAACCCATTTTACTTGTTTGCATAATAATATTTAAGTCCTCTGCTATTTGGACATGTACAGTATTTTTAGAATACTAGGTATCAAATACAAAGCATATGCTAAATATTACTGAGAACAAATACTAGATAACTCAACACTGTGTTGCTAAATGTGAGGAATGGGAAAGGCTTCTTGCAAGAAGTGGTATTTAATCTGGACCTTGAAAAGTTGGAGATGAGGTTCAAGGGCATTCTAGAGAATGTGGGCACCCAGTGTGTTAAAGTGTGTGTCACAAGAGAGGAAGTGCAACAGTGTGATTTGGGGGTATATAATGGTAGACACATAAGGCTGAAACTGCTTAGGCACAGATTGTGGATTGTCTTGGGTGTCTTGTTAAGGAGTTTGGGCTTCCTTTCCTCAGTGGTGGGAAACATTGGAGATATTTGGGCTGGTCATCACTCACTGATTCTAGATGAATTGTTAAGGCATATAGTATATATTTTACATAGTTTTTTTTGCATATTTTAATGAAAAGTGTGCATGACTTTAATGAAACAATAAACATCAATTTTCTATTCTAATTTGGATTCTTTGTTTTAAAGCAATTGCCAAGGGAAACAAGTAAATGACTGGTTAAGTAGTCATTGTTTTCCAAAATGTTCAAAACCAGATGCAAGTTCTCCACAGAGACTACTTGAAGGCCAGTAAACAACATTTCAAAGGCAGTCAAGCTCAGACAGCCGAATGTGCACGTGTGAGACAGTTAGATGGAGGGTCTGGTGCTCTGGGAGAGAAAATATGCCTTGCCTGTGTGGGCAAAAAGATGTCTTGATGAAAAAGGAGTTGGGGAAAAGCTGCTTAGAGCCTTGACAATGAATGAGGTTGGAGGTGCATGCCCAGGAAGAGAATGTAGAAGTGTGAGGTTCCATTTGAAGTTCCCGGGAGCAGAAGCTCTTCAGCCATTTTACTGATGAAGAAACGCAGAGACAGCAGGGAAGAGATATGAATAAACTTCTGGAGTTTTCATTTGTTAACTTCTTTATATTTTCTCTTCTTCCAAAAAAGAATGAACCTTAAATATAACTCTGAATAAATATGAAGCAGTATGATGTCACTGCTGGTAGAGATAGGACTAAAAATTGACTTTCCTCAACTTCAGCCCTCGCATTAATTGTACTAAACCTTGCAAATCTGTCTCTGAAGAGAGCAGCTTTGCTGCTGGTTACCAGGTGGTGGACACGGTGTGACATACCCAGAGTCAAGATATCGTCCAGCAAGGAAGCATTTCCCAGAACCCCCCAGCAGCTGTCCCCCCACCTGGTGAGCAATAGGGTTGTTGTGGCAAAAACAATCTCAGTGAAGCAATTGGAATAAGGTTTTTGCGTAATAGGCCCTCAGTAGATGTTTACTATTATTGTTTTTGTTACTGCTGTTGTTACTATTAATACAAATGACCTTCTTACTCCTCAGAATTTCACAAGAAGTCCACATGGAATAGCCACAGCTGTCACAAGGCAAGAGGTGACTTCTTGCCAGGGTGTGAGTCCTCCTCTCTTTCTTTGCGTCAAAGCAAGGAGAGGCTCTGTAAGGACTGCTTTTCCTTGTGCACAGGACTTGCCCCCACTCCCATACAGACTGCTGAGCTAGGCCAGGGGTTAGGAAGGGCGTTCTGCACGGTGACCCAATAACGTCCTGGTGGCAGCGGGACCTCAAGGCCTGGGGAACAGGGCGCAGTACATCCCGTCCTTGCTCTACGAGCGAAAGTGGGGCGCTGGGGATGCTCTCATTAGATTTAATCACTATAGGCGTAGCGGTCAGGCCCAGTGAGGTCTAACCTCTTCCATCAGGGTTCAAGGTTAGGAATCCTACACAGAGTATACTCTTTTTCTGGTATTTCCATACGTTAATTCGATGCCAGTTTAGAGGCAGGGCACTTGCTTAACGTCCACGAGCGAACATTGTAAGACGAGCAGTTCCCACCCGCCCCCAGCCGGTCCCAGCAGGGCTCGGCGGCAGGAGGCGC